TTAATAAAAAATTACGATTTTTGTAAAATAATTTTTTTTTATATTTTTAACTTAATAATGCTCTAACTTTTTGAAAAATGAACATATCAATATAATTTTTTTTTATATAGATGCTTGATGTCTTTACTTATCATTTGGTCTATTTTTTTGTAAATCTGACACTTAACCTGCACACAGGGGGGGATTTAAAATGACAACTTTTTCACAACAAATATACTTTTTCAACATAACTTTTGAAAATGTTCCGGAAGGTCTGACACTTTTATATATATCTTAAATTAAAGTTAATGTAATGTACTTTAATTTGAAAAAAAAAAATTTGACCTCTGGACTTGTCTTCGTGGTGAAAGTTGACATCAAAGTTAATAAAAAATTACGATTTTTGTAAAATAATTTTTTTTTATATTTTTAACTTAATAATGCTCTAACTTTTTCAAAAATGAACATATCAATATAATTTTTTTTTATATAGATGCTTGATGTCTTTACTTATCATTTGGTATATTTTTTTTGTAAATCTGACACTTTATCTGCCCACAGGGGGGGATTTAAAATGACAACTTTTTCACAAAAAATTAACTTTTTCAACTTAACTTTTGAAAATGTTCCGGAAGGTCTGACACTTTTATATATATCTTAAATTAAAGCTAATGTAATATACTTTAATTTGAAAAAAAAAAATTTGACCTCTGGACTTGTCTTCACGGCGAAAATGGCTACCGAATGCTATTTTCGTGTGAAAATTCTCGATTTTATTATTTATATTATATTTAACTTTATAATGCTATAACTTATTGAAAAGTTTATGGATCCACACAATTTTTTTATGAGAAATAATATTTTTTAATAAACCTTTTTTCATTCGACATACATTATCTTAATCAAGATATTAATAAGGAACCAGCAGATCAAGTAGATTTTGGAATAAAACACCAATTTTTTTAAAATTAAACACTATCTAAAGATTTGCATCGAAGCGTTTATTTTTGATAGTGATTTTAATCACTGTCAGATATCATTATACTTGATCCAACTATGCCACGTCACCACTGTGCCGCGACCCCACTGTGCTGGGTTGGGTTTTTTTTTTTCAAATTAAAGTATATTACATAAGCTTCAATTTAAGATATATATAAAAGTGTCAGACCTTCCGGAACACTTTCAAAAGTTAAGTTGAAAAAGTTCTACTTTCTATATGCATTTTTTATATTTGAAGCCCCCCCATATATAGGGAAATAGTCTGATTTAAAAAAAAAGTATATCCAATGAAAGATGTATATAAATACTACTTCTCATGAAAAAATTGTATTGATCCATACATTTTTTAAAAAGTTATAGCACTTTAAAGTAAAAAATGTAAATTATAAAATCGAAAATTTTCACACAAAAATAGCATTCGGTAGCCGTTTTCACCATGAAGACAAGTCCAGAGGTCAAATTTTTTTTTTTCAAATTAAAGTACATTACATTAGCTTTAATTTAAGATATATATAAAAGTGTCAGACCTTCCGGAACACTTTCAAATGTTAAGTTGAAAAAGTTCTACTTTCTATATGCATTTTTTATATTTGAAGCCCCCCCGTATATAGGGAAATAGTCTGATTTAAAAAAAAAGTATGTCCTATGAAAGATGTATATAAATACTACTTCTCATGAAAAAATTGTACTGATCCATTAATTTTTTTAAAAAGTTATAGCACTCTAAAGTAAAAAATGTAAATTATAAAATTGAGAATTTTTAAACAAAAATAGCATTTGGTGTCCATTTTCACCATGAAGACAAGTCCAGAGGTCAATTTTTTTTTTCATAATAAAATACATTACATTAGCTTTAATTTAAGATATATATAAAAGTGTCAGACCTTCCGGAACATTTTCAAAAGTTAAGTTAAAAAAGTTAATTTTTTGTGAAAAAGTTGTCATTTTAAATCTCCCCCTGTGAGTAGATAAAGAGTCAAATTTACAAAAAAAATATACCAAATGATAGGTAAGGACATCAAGCATCTATAAAAAAAAATTATATTGATATGTTCATTTTTGAAAAAGTTACGGCTGGTTCTAGTCAAAAAAATTAAAAAAATTTCGAAAATTAGCGATTTTTAAATTTGTAATTTTTTTGAAGGTTTCCCCCATTTACGGGGAATGAGGGAAGTTTTTGAGAGTAATGTCTTCGACTAGATACGATTTGTGATCTTTTGACGTATCGTTGAAAGAAATCCGTTCGGTGAGAGCTGAGAAAAAGTGGTAACAGACACAAAAAAAAAAAAAAAAAAAAACACATCATAGTAAAACCAATACCTTCTCAGCTTCGCATCGAAGCTAAANTAAAACCAATACCCTCTCAGCTTCGCATCGAAGCTAAAATAATCTGACAATGACAAAATACATGATAGTATCTAGATAAAATCATAGAACTGATTCCTTAAAAGTAAATAATTACACATCTGAAAGGGTAGAAAATTTGAAATACTTATATACAGAGTGTTCAGTAAGTTAGGAAACAGTTAAATTGTTACAAACAATGAGTACAATAGAAATTCGTTTCCTTATTTACTGAACACCCTGTATACTTATAATACTTGTATATATAGTTACTAATGGAGATGCTAATAGCCATGAAGAAGTAAAAGACGACTCATCACAGCAAACAGATGTTACTATGGACTGATACCATTGTTTAAGTCTAAACTATTATCAATAAAATCCAAAGTAATAAATAAAGTTCTAGTCAAACCATTAGCTCTATATGCAAGCATTACTTGGGCTATAATAAAATTAAATGAAAAAAGCTAGAAGTGTTTGAGAAAAAGATATTCGGGTCAAAGAGAAACAACGAAGGCGAATATGAATTCGAAGTAATAAAAACCTAGAAGAACTATATAATGAACCCAATATAGTTGGTATCTTGAACAAATTTCAGATTTGTAACACATCATAAAATACAAGTCTAAATTTTTCTATTCTGAATATTTTTAAAAATGAAAAAACACCCACGCTTTGACTCCAGTAAATGCTTAAAAGTTATTAATTTATTGATATTAAACGGGACATCTAGAATAGTTTATTCAAAATATTATTAATTTTAATTTTATTATTTTTAGTGTCTTATTTAATATTATTCTATAATTATATCAATAACATTTAATGATCAAAAATAAAATAAAAATAAAAATTAATTATTGAGTTTTAATAACTATTTAAAGATTAACAAAATAATTATATAAACTGTAGTTAACTCTGAAATATAAATATAAGTCGAAATTAATTAAAATAAACATTTAATGATTTTCTATCTGTATTGGTGTTGGAGGCACAGTTGCATCTATTACTTTAAATTCCAATTCTAAATTCATACAAAATTTTTTAAAACATTAATTTTATATTTTAATTAATAATTTTTTATTTTAAATACCTAGTTCAATTAGCTCCTGTGGTGTTGGTATAAATGTTTCTTCAGTCATTGGATCAAATTTAAATCCGAGTTGAAAATACTTTTCTATAATTATTGTATTAACATAATCCTTAATTTTTCTACTTATAAATTTTAGAAACACTAATTTAATACCTTGGTCACTAATAACTTCATACTCTTGAACCCATTTATTCCATAAATAATTCGTGTCATAAGTTACAAATTTACAATACAATAGAGTTTCATGATTTACATTTATTATTGTTCTTTGAGTAAATGAATGTATAATAAATAATGCCTTAGAGAATGAAGATATATCATTACGTGATAAAGTTAGTTTGTTTAATATGTCAAGAATATTTTCTATTCTCCCTAATAAAGAATTTAACAGGAAGTGAGGTTTTTTTATAGTTTGCCATGGTTTTTTATGTAATAAATCCAAAGTGTCCATGGCTCCTTTCATCAATGTTGTCATTGGAACAACTAACATGGATATTATGTTTATGAATTCTTCTGTGCAAATGCATCCATATTTTAAGTCGTTCTCTTCTTCAATTTTTTTTTGACAATTTTGTGTAACGATGATAATAACTGAAAAAAGATCATTTATAACTTTAGCGTATGTGCATCCAAGATATGCAGTTAAGGCTCTTATTTTTTGATAGCATTTATTGCGATGTGTAGGTGTTTGAATCAGATCTTCAAGATAATAATTTCTAGTCAAATAAGTTATTCTGATAATATCGTTTAAATTTTTCCATCCCGAATACATTAGTAACGTATCTATCTCATTTACTGATTTGTTTGTACCCCTTTCTTCTTTTGTACATAAAATCACATAAAAAAATACAAAACTAAACTTGTAAAGTTTTAATGAAAACATAATAAAATAATTAATAATACTTATGAAAATATAACTCGAAGAAGTGTCAGAAGACTCGATTTTATTTTTTCTTATACATCTAAATAATAAGATAAATATTTACGTTAAAACATTTGTTGTATGGCAATAAATTTGTTTGAAGTTCTTAATTTAGAATTATTTAACTAACTAAAAATTTGCTGAAAAATTCTTTATGCTAGAGAAATCTATTCGTATAAAAATTCTCAATATTAGTTTTGATTCAAAATTAAAAAGGTATTAATTTTACTAGGATAAATTTTTTTTTTTGTCTGTGAACACTTAATCTCAGCTCAAATTGAATCGATTTTGATGAACGATATGTAAAAAGATCACAAATTGTATCTAATCGAGGACATTGCCCTTAAAAATTGAAAAAATTCCCTCGTTCCCCGTTAATGGGGAATCCCTCAAAAAATTACAAATTTAAAAAATCGGTAATATTCAACATTTTTTCAATTATTTTTAATTAAAACAGCCATAACTTTTTCAAAAATTACTAAATCAATATAATTTTTTTTATAGATGCACGAAGTCTTTACCAATTACTTGATATATTTTTTAATTTTAACATCGGACAATTTCCCTATATACCGGGGAGAGGGGTGTCAAATCTAAAAAATGAACATAGAAAGTAGAACTTTTTCAATTTAACTTTTAAAAGTTTTTCGGAAATACTGAAACTTTTATATATATCTTAAATAAAAGTTTATGTGATATACTTTAATTTGAAAAAAAAAATTAACTTCTGGAAGTTTCTTCATGGTGAATATTACATTTTATATTTTTAAATTTATAATGCTATAACATTTTGAAAAAAAGGTATTGATCAGTAGAATTTTTTTTTTTAGCTTTGATGCGAAGCTGAGAAAGTATTGGTTTTACTATGTGTTTTAGCTTCGATGCGAAGCTAAGAAGGTATTGGTTTTACTAAGATGTGTTTTTTTTTTTTGTGTCTGTTACCACTTTTTCTCAGCTCTCACCGAACCGATTTCTTTCAATGATACGTCAAAAGATCACAAATTGTATCTAGTCGAAGACATTACCCTCAAAAATCGAAAAAACTTCCCTCATTCCCCGTAAATAGGGGAAACCTTCAAAAAAATTACAAATTTAAAAATCGCTAATTTTCGAAATTTTTTCAATTTTTTTTACTAAAACCAGCCGTAACTTTTTCAAAAATAAACATATTAATATAATTCTTTTTTATATAGATGCATAATATCATTACCTTTCATTTGGTATATTTTTTTCATAAATTTAACCCTTAAACTGCCCACAAGGGGGGATTTAAAATGACAACTTTTTTTACAAAAAATTAACTTTTTCAACTTAACTTTTGAAAATGTTCCGGAAGGTCTGACACTTTTATATATATCTTAAATTAAAGCTAATGTAATGTTCTTTATTATGCAAAAAAAAAAAAAATTCGGACTTTATTTTATCTACACTGTGAAAATGGCTACCAAATGCTATTTTTGTGTGAAAATTTTCGATTTTGTATTTTACATTTTTAACTTTATTATGCTATAACTTTTTGAAAAATGTATGGATCAGTACAATTTTTTCATGAGGAGTAGTATTTATATACATCTTTCATTTGACATACTNATGAGGAGTAGTATTCATATACATCTTTCATTTGACTTACTATTTTTTTAAATCGGACCATTTCCCTATATACGAGGGGGGTTCAAATCTAAAAAATGCAAGTTTTAAAAAAATACGATTTTTGTAAAAAAATTCTTTTTTATATTTTTAACTTTATAATGCTATAACTTTTTGAAAGATGTATAGATCAATATAATTTTTTTTTATAGATGCATGATGTCTTTACCTATCATTTGGTATATATTTTTTTTATATCTGACCCTTTACCTGCCCACAGGGGGGGATTTAAAATGACAACTTTTTCACAAAAAATTTACTTTTTCAACTTAAATTTTGAAAGTGTTCCGGAAAGTCTGACACTTTTATATATATCTTAAATTAAAGCTAATGTAATATACTTTATTATGCGAAAAAAAAATTTCGGACTTTATTTTATCTTCATGGTGAAAACAGACATCAAAGTTTATAAAAAAAATACGATTTTTGTAAAAAAATTCTTTTTTATATTTTTAACTTTATAATGCTATAACTTTTTGAAAGATGTATGGATCAATATAATTTTTTTTTTTTAGATGCATGATGTCTTTACCTATCATTTGGTATATATTTTTTTTATATCTGACCCTTTACCTGCCCACAGGGGGGGATTTAAAATGACCACTTTTTCACAAAAAATTTACTTTTTCAACTTAAATTTTGAAAGTGTTCCGGAAAGTCTGACACTTTTATATATATCTTAAATTAAAGCTAATGTAATCTACTTTATTATGTAAAAAAAATGCTATGACATATTGAAAAGTGTATTGATCAATATAATTTTTTTATGGGAAATACTATTTTTTAATAATCCCTTTTTCATTCGACATACTTTATCTTAATCAGGATATTAATAAGGAACTAGCAGTTTATGAAGCTTTTGGAATAATCCACCAATTTTTTAAAATTAAACACTATCTAAAGATTTGCATCGAAGCGTTTTTTTTTGATAGTGATTTTAATCACTGTCAGATATCATTATACTTGATCCAACTATACCATGGCATCACTTTGCCGCTACCCCCCTGTGCTGGGTATTTTTTTATATTTATTTAGTAATAATATAAAAATCAAAAGTGATAGAAAAAGCCTAATTGCAGATTTGAAAAGAGCGCGAAAAGTTGTTTCAGAAAAGTATAAGATAGTTTTGTATTTTATTTTATTTTAAAATACCTTACAAGGAGAGTACACTGATTTTCATAAATCTTGTATAAATATAATTGAAATAGCAAGTGAAGTTAAACTTAAAGTCGAGAAACATAGCTTTAAAATTTGAAGTAACTTTAGTTGTCATTTTTATCGTCCGGGCGATAAAAATACTCCCCTTATATGGTATTTTAAAATAAAATACAAAACCCAGAATTTCAACACAAAAATAGCATATTTCTGAATATGGTAACCATTTTTACTATAAAGAAAAGTCCAGAATCAATTATTATTTTCAAATTATATAAGCTTTATTTTAAGATACATATAAAAGTGTCAGTATTTCTGGAACACTTTTCAAAATTAAATTGAAAATGTTCTAGTTTCAATACGCATGTTTAATGTTTTGATCCCCTTATATAAAGGGAAATAGTTCGATTAAAAAAATAAGTATGTCAGAAGAAAAAGATAACTATAAAGTATTTATAAAAATATGCTATTTTTGTGTTAAAATTCTCGATTTTATATTTCTAAACATATGGGTTTGCCATAGTAATGAGCCCATCAATTTTCATAAAAGTTCCAAGAATCTAACTTATACTGAATATAAATTTAAACTTATTTTGAATATTTTACCTCGTACGTTAAAATAAACGACTTTGAATTTTTAAACTAGTTTAAATTGTTCTTTTTATCCAAATACAAAAATTAAATTAAATATTTAAATTTTTTCACCTTTTTTTTATTTTTATGAATACCGTTAAGTTACCATTATTGTAAAAATCAGACTATGGTATACCAATCAAATTAGATATGATATTAATATAAAATATATACACTAAATTATATCCAGTGGTGTCTCGCGATTTGGACGACGGGACGATCTACTAAAATTAATTATAAGATGAAAATTAATTGTATATTCTTAATTCTACATTTTTTAAAAATGTAGAATATTAAAAATGCAAATTTAAAATAGTTAAATAGTTACAATACATTTGGGGCGTGTGAACATTAATGTTGTTTTTCTCAGTAAATGTGTCGGTTACACATTCACACGCGAGCAGTGTTTGGACAACCAACAACGTCGTCCGAATAATATTCTGAAACGTATATAATAAGCGAGGCGTCCAATCGTGTGCGTGCGGGTTCAGTTGCGATCTTATGTGCGGGTTTTGGACGACCGGCAGCGTTGTCCATGCGGTAAAATATTAGTATATTACCATTTTGGGTAATTTATTTTCAGAATTGACTGTTTGTGCGCTCGTCGTTATCGGTTGCTATAATAGTATAATGATTATACTATAGTCGCTATTATTTCATTTCTATTTCCTGTTTCGACCTTTAAAATAATGATATGTGTATTGTGTTTTATTTTATTATATTTAATTTGACAATTTTTTACACCTATGACTATATTAGCGATATTATATTTAAACTCGTATCCCCACCACTAGCACGCACGAGCCGCCACTGAATGTAGAGTTGTCGAGTGGGTCACATTTTAGTGTTTCACGTTTGGGACAAGACTTTCGAGTCTATCCGTTGTAAGGCGTTTTTTTTGTATTTTTCTTAATTCTTTTAGAGGCGAAAAAGGAATCATCATTCGTTTGAATTTTATCTCATTTAGATTGAATAACTGCAATTATATTTTTTTCCATCGCCTCTTTTTTTTCGTATTATTATCAATTTATAAAAAGGAGTATGTCGTAGTATACTCGTCATCAGTGGCGTATTTAGAAATTTATAATGGGGTGGGGGGACACAAAAAATGTTCATGAATAAGGTACCACAAAACGACATTTTTTTTTTGCTCATAACTTTTGTTAACACATATTTTAGATTTTTTTAGAAAAAAAAGTCTGTTATTAGTTTTGAATCCGTTTTTACTACACCCAGAGAAAAACCTCGATCTATATAGTAAATTCATTGTTCAATTTGATAAATATATCATTACTATTGAATCAATGATATATTTATCAATATGATATTTTTTTTTCTTGTCTTGAACAATAATTATTTATAAGAATAGTTATTTTGTTCGTATTAATAAAACATTATCATAAACCCTTGATAAAATTTCTCTTTCAATTTTGATTGAGGTTTTTCTTTGGGTGTAGTGATGGGCATTTTTGAATATTTTAAACTATCGAATAACTATTCGAATTGTTTTTATACAACCGAATAGTGTGTTTTTAGCATTAACTATCGAATATTTTTACTATTCGAATAGTTTTTGAATGACTATCGAATAGTTTGATATTACCCATCACTAGATTTTACTAATAAAAATATTTATATTTATACAGGTGTATCTCTACGTAATAAACACTTCAAAAATAGGCGATAACATTAACGGGACAACTGTGCAAGCTTCAAATTTTGCTCCACAAGACAACTATATTGACTAACATTTCATAAACCCATGTTATTATCGATAACCAAAAAATAATTTTTTCTAATGATATTTTACATTATTACATTGCTTGATAAAATACCCACATGACTCAGTCAATGGGGGAGGCATATGCCTTTGTGCCCCTCTAATTACCCCACTGCTCGTCACTATCATAAAATGAAATAACACTAGGCTATTCTATTTATGTCCACAATAATGGTCTTTTACTTAACTTTTCGTTTAAAATAGTTAATACTTCTATTTATACAGGGTGATCGAAATCTGGTAAGACACTTATATTCTCAGAAACTATTGATTATTTAAAATTTTTGTAAAAAGAAAAATTACTAAGTTTATAAAACTCTACAATAATATGCAGTTAAATAAATTTTTTTTTATCCCTTCAAGGATAAAAATGTTTATTTATAATTTTTTTTAATGGGAACCACTATTTTTGATTTGATATATGATAGAAAAAAAATTACAAACAATTTTGTTTTTATAATTTTTTTTATCCGAACAACCGTTTACGTTTTATAATTGTTTAAAGATTTTGACTTCCAGAAAAAATATTGTCATTTAATACGTTTAATAATACCGGTGGCAGTGCAACTAGTTTTTTTGTTAAATCCTTTAGTCTTACACAACCATATACTTAGCTATTAATAATACACCGAAAACCCGGTTTGAATCTATTATTGTTATCACTCATTTAGTGCGTAGTAAATTTTTATAGCTAATTTACCTGTCATAACTTGATCAATAAAATTTGGTTTATGCAACAGCAAATAAAAATAATGACTTCTATATTTAATACAATAAAATGACAATAGAAATTTAGCCTAAAATCACTTAACTTTACCAAGCTGTAACGGACGAGCGGTTAATCGGATAAAAAAAACTATAAGAACAAAATTGTTTGTAATTTTTTTGTCTATCATATTATAAAGTTAAAAATAATGGTGCCCATTTAAGAAACTTATTAATAAGGGTTTTTATCCTTGAAGGGACGAAAAAAATAATGGTTTGACTACATATTATTGTAGAGTTTTTTGAACTTGATATTTTTTCTCTATAATAAAATTAAAAATTCTCAATATTTTTTGAGAAAATGAGTGTCTTACCAGATTTCAATTACTCTGTATATTATATTTACATTCTTAGAAGAACGTAATTCTTCTCAAACAAAACATTTAAATAAACATTTTAGAGAAATATTCAACAAACGCCTACTGCTTAGTTATATTGTAATACACACAATTCAGTCATAAATCAATTAATAGTCACTTTTAAAATCACTATTTCCTAGAAAAAATCTATAAATTATACTTGTCATCTTTATTATTTTAATTTTAATAATTAAACACATTGTATCAACCCTAAATTTAAGTGTAAAAAATTATGTTAATGTTATATAAAATGTCAAAATCATTATTAAAGCTTATAATATAAGCTTTACCATGAAAAAAAAAAACCCCAATATACATTTTCTATTTGGTAAAAATGGCTACCGTATTCAAAAATATGCTATTTTTGTGTTAAAATTCTAGGTTTTGTATTTTATTTTATTTTAAAATATTTTACAAGGGGAATACATTGACTTTCATGAATATTATATATTTTAATTGACATGGTGTTAAATTCATAAGACTTAAGAATTTAAACTTTTTTGCTTTTTTAAAGTCGAAAAAGTTACTTTAAAATTTGAATTAGCTTAAATTGCTAATTTTATCACTCAACAAAAGTGACGATCAGTTACCAAATCGGTAACACTTGTGTCCTTTACGCTTAAAGTACGAGAATCAATTCCGTCTGTGACAATTCATATTTTATATTTTTTTTGTGTTAGAAAAAATGTGTAAAAATCATTTGATTTTTATCTCATTTAGATTCAATAACTTCGATAATTATTGAGGATCCCATCACTGTAGTCTCTTCTCGTGAGAAGAAATTTCTTCTTCATGTTAATATTGTTTTATTATGTGGTTTTATTTGTGGTTGCGATTTATTTTCACAACCCTCAATTAACCTACTTTTTTCAACGATACGTCAAATGTTTACAATTCGTATTTATTTGAAGATATTACTTTCAAAAATTGAAAAAAATTCCTTAATCAAATAAAAAGTAGCTTAACCATTTTTATTCATACAAACTATGAAAATCATTAATTTCTAATAATTTTAAAGTATAAATTGTCGAATTTGATTTGATATGAAAAAAATATTCAACTACAAAAGTAAATAATTTTACTTTGTAATTAATTAATTTTTTAACTCTATAAGTGTGTGCTAATATTTGTGTGTGTACTAATCTATAATATTTCACATTTTTTTGTAATATTTTGCTATATCTATCATAAATCTAAAAAAAAAATGATATTTAGTTTCATCGGAATTTAATAATGGATTTTTACAATTATAATAGTATTTTATAATACGCTCAATTTAGTAGTTCTTTTTAACAACTTTTTTTTTTTTGGTTTTTTAATTAATGCAAATTATTAAAATTAATTCAGTTCTGCATATTTCTATTGTAAAATCATTTTAAACACCAAAAGTTAATTAGAAATGATTACTATGACTTCTATTTAAGTGATCTATTACGATAAAAATGCAAAAAAATCGAGCTTTACTAATAAATTTACTGTAAATAGTAATTATAAAATTTTCTGAGTGCATATTAATCTTAACAATACTATTTTTTTCTATTTAATGATGTCAATTTCAAACTTGTAAGTTGTGCTTAAAGTTATGGTAATAAATACCAATAATAATAACACCAAAAGATACTAGGAAATGATTACTATTATTTCTATTTAAATTATCTATTACGATAAAAATGCAAAAAATATTGAGCTTTTCTGATAAATTATCTATAAATAGTAATTATAAAAGTTTCTGAGTTTATAATAATCTTAACGATACAATATTTTTAATTCTCATAAAATTTCCTATTTAATTAATGACTATTTCAAACTTGCAAATTGAGCTAAAAGTTATGGTAATAACTAAATTTTTTTTTACTATAAATATATATATATATATATAATATATAAACGACTTAATTCTGAAAATGTATTATACAGTAGGTATAGCCTTGTTTGTGGGCGGACAATGCACAGGGAAAAGATTTTTTTGATAAATCCAAACTTACACTTCTACCATAGAAGTAACAAAATATAGAACTACTATATATTTTTTTAAAAATTCTTTCGTGATCATTACAGTATAAATGATGAATATCAATTTCTTACTAAATTTGTATTAAAGTGTTTTTTATTTTAGTGATTATCGTCAGATATCATCTTTAATTGTTTCAACTATACATGTTCTCACTGTGCTGTTTTTTTTAGATTATTTTCCTTGCATATAATTCACGTAGAAGTTAATTAATTAATTTAATAATTACTACGATGAATTAAAATAAACTAACCATCATATAATCTAAATAATTTTAGTTAAGTTATGGGTTTTCTTGTTTTGTATCAATAATTGAGCAGCGATGATAAGCTAAAATATTTACTCTCTGTAAGTGTACAAAGAACTTATTTTACTCTAATAAAATTAATTCAATTAAATAACTTTTATTGACTATATTTTTTTCTTTTAAATAATATATAAATTAACAGTTTTGAGAAATTACCCATAGTAATATGGGTTACTGATACTCACAATATAAGTAATATTAATATTCACAATTAAGATATACATAATTATCATGTATATTAAAATTTAGAACGTTCTTCCATTTATGTTATACAGATAACATAAACAATTTTACTTTAAAGTCGATGTTTTTGTAATCTTATTGTTTACTAATTTTGTCTATGTAATTTATAAATGATTTTATAACACCGAAATCATTCGTTTTCGTATTTAGCACAATACTGTTAATAAACATTCTTGCATTGAGTAAACTGTAATGTTCGACGGTTTTAACTTCTGAGGGATTGTGTGGTGGTTTATCTGACTCGTTAGGAAGTTCTTCACCGAACAAAAACATTGGCTCTATAGCAAAACAATCCAAAGGTTTACAAATATCTGTTAGAATTGTTTTTAATTCGGTTTCTAGTTTCAAGTAATACTCTTGGTAATAATTTAAAAACTCGAACTCGTCGACTAATTTGTTTGTATTTTTTGGAATAAAGTTAATAAAATTTGTTATACTTGATTTAATTTTTTTAATATCAGAATCATTTTCTATACATGTAAGCTGTGAAAAGTTATACAATATCGGTAACCATTCTTTTGCAAGATGTTCTACGATATTGACATTTTGGTATTGAAGGTACAAGAAATGTTTCCAAGTCAACCTTAACATAATGACTTTAAAGAAGTTAAAGTACACTACATACAATTTTTTTATATTTTTAAAATTTCCTCCTGACCAGTCAAGTAAGGTAGCCCTTTTAAACAATTTTTTAATTAATTTTTCCGTTTTATCGTTCCAATTAACTTGTACATAGTAAGCACTTTTAAAAAAATGTATTCCACTTAGGTTTGTTGCAACGTATTTCATAAGTATGTTGTTTTTCGTAAATTTTTCGATATTTTCTCGATACAACAATTCAGGTCTATTTCTTTCATTTATAAATTCTTGCATATTGTCTATATTCTCATTCATTTTTGATTCTAAATATCTCATTGCTTCATTAGTTTTATATTCAAACTCTGTTATATCAGTATTGAATAAATTATGCTTATCACAGTTGGTGACATCTTGTTGCAAAATTGGCATAATATAATCATGAGTTCCTACAATAATTTCGTACCGCCTACTATTTTTATTTATTTCTAGGTTTTTGTTTGAATTAGGTATAGTTAAATATTTATATATGCCACTTGAATACATATTTAATAACCACAAGGATCCAATACTTTTTTTATCTTTATCATACAAAGTACTTATTTGTTTTTTGATGATATAGGCATACTTACTTATGTGTACTAATGTAGTTATTAACTCTTGTTTTTTGTTTTTCAACATAATTTGAGTTATTTTCATATGAGTTAAAGCACTAAATAAGTAAGAGCATTTTTGATAGTTAATTTCTTCAGTTGAACTTAAATCAACTGAATCTATTGTTATGAGATATCTTAGAGAACAAAAAACTTGTAAGCATATCTTAATGATAACAGAGCTTTTAAAATTTAACATTTTTTTTTATGTATACAAATATTTCACATTACATATTTAGCTAAATGTAGTCTTATGAATATATATAAAAAAAACAATGCAATATATATATATATATATATATGTTTAGTTTTTTATTAGCAAATATTGAATGTGTCTACTCTTTACCTTAAAATGAACTAATAAATAACTATAAGGTGTGTTCAGCAACATAATTTAAAATTTTTAATAACGCACAATTTGATTTTGATTATTCTAATTTATTATTTTGACACGTCAATAATAAAGTATTTTAATCTAAAAAAAAATTAGTATAGATATATTATTTAGTAATATTTGATTGCTTCACTTTTATTAAGAAATTTATAAATTGATGAAGAAATGCTACAAAGTTTATAAAACATATTTTTTTATAATTTTTATTGTTAATACAAAGCTATTATATGCTGTTGCTCTAATTAATTAGAAAATATCTAAACAATGCTCTAGACTTTATTCTATATACATGAAAGAATAAGACTTGATTGGTCTAGTTATATAGCTTAAAATTCAATGTCTATCTTTAAAGTGTGACTATTAATAATAATAAAAAAAAAAATGTATACTTTGAAAATTAATTGAATGTATTTAAGTAAATTTAAAGGATTATTCTAAATATAATAACTGTTGATATTAAATAAAATGGCTTTATACTAAACTTTCAAATCCTCTTAATCTTCTTCACATCATTTATCCTTATATATATATATATATGTATACAGGTTGAGTTTTTTATAATAACCCACTCAAATATATACAGAATAAAATTAATTTAAACATTTTTTTTTTTTGACTATCTTTAGTTACACATTATTTTTGAATTATAAACTATGTAATACTTTTTAAGTTCATCCCCTATGCCTTTTAAGGGTGTCAACTTTGTTTTTTAAATGGGAGCATAGACTTTTAATTCAATAAAATGTTTAATTTTTTAATTAATAGTAAATAACAATAGAATTTTTAGCATAACTTAATTTGTTTATTAAATATGAACAATTACAGTTTCAAATTTTTGAGTTAATATACACGTGTAATACAAAAGGTTACTGGTAGCTAATTAGTTTTTTATGACGTCGATATTCGTAGATATGCAGAATTTATTATTGATGGTAGTAAGACA